TACAAAACTCAAAACAAATATATATATATATATTTTTTTTTATATTAATACTCCTGCTCACGGCAATCTAAAAGAAATCAAACAATGAAAGCACCAATGATGGAGATCGCGTGTCTTGACTTGGTCGATAAGCCGCTCGCGCGCCTTGAATCTCCGATAGATGCTAATACGCGCGCCGACGCCTTCGTACTAGTGTGGAAGATGGTGTGGAAGAAAATCGGATGTTGGTCCTATTTCTAACACGATCTAGTTTGTAAACTCACAGCAGAAAACTCACAAGACAATTTGAACAAGTGTTTGATTTTTAATTAATTCTTCAATGATAATCAAATTGAATGAGTACATAGGGTATTTATAAGAAAAACTAGATCTAGTCACATGCCAACTATAACTCTAATCTATGGAAAATATATCTAGTCCTAAGGTAATTAAATATCTTGCATATCAAGAGTTACCAAATAATTAAATACTAATTCCTAACAATCTAATTATTCACGTGAACAATGACGTGAATACTAATCCTAACAAAACTATCCTAACTAATTATATCACCACACGGCTAACGTCAATAAATATAACCTAACTAAATCTACTCCTAACAATACTATCTCACGGCACTATTTCTTAATCTAATAAACTAACTACTAACATATTAAATAAACTAATCTAACATGCCTACTAACGCAAATGAATAAACTAACAACTACTACTCTAATAATAATTAACCTAACATATATAATAAACTAACTATTAATCTTCTAGAATATTCCGGCCTTCGGCTCGTACGGCTTGCCTCGTGCATTTGCGCATCACGCCCACGTACGCCTCCACGTGCTTCTTCGCGCGGCCCGTTGCCAACTCCCGGGCTCGACCGGACCACTATCGCTAAGCCCAATCCCATACGTGCTCTCAAGTCTAGGCCCGTCCACGTCTCTGCCCGACGCGTGCGTTCACGCCGTGCTCTCGTCCCTCTCGTTGTGGTCGACTCTCGCGCGCTCGACCTTGTTGAGCTCGACGTCGCATGCTCATCATCGACCCACTTATACTTGTTCCTACTAGCTTCGACCAACTGTGCTGCCAGCTCTCGTGATCGCGCGTCCAACCCGCGTACTCCCCCGCGTGCTTGATCGCGTGCTATTCC